TTTTGCAGCCTGCCTTCCCAGTGCAGAGGTATTTGAGCCAAGTAGGCAGATTTTTTTTATCCTCGGAGAAAAGCCGTTTCCAGGAACAGGGTTTTGGTGAATACTTGGTACAAGTATCTGTCTGGTGGCTTTGTTACGACACCGATCGGTAAGACAGACTGTGCCTGTGAGTTGCAGTGGGCTGCAGATTGAGCAGGGCAGAAGAATTTGCTATTTGTATCCTTGTTTTTTAATCATTTTTCTACCTTTATTGGTATTCATAGCTCACATTTTTCCGGTTACTGTCAGCCTGGGCTTTCATCCATTTTAAAGAGCTATTTTTTCCCCTTGTTGATGATGATGATGGTATAAAGACAGATGGTGTAACTGCTTATGAATGTCCTATTTTATTTCCCTCGAACCAGACAGTTCACTTGAAGACGTATATTGTTTCCACATGCTCAGGTTAGAGCCCAGACAGTGTCTGAGCCCAGCAGCCAGCTCACCCTTCCTCTTCCTCCCATGCAGATGGTGACACCTCTGGGTCGCAGCCGGGAGTGCGCAGCGCCGGCCACCCTTTGTTGTTGTCCCCCAGCAGGGGTGAGGAGGGCTCTGGTGCTGCTCCGGTGCTGGGTGCCCCTTGCCAGGCACAGGTTGGTGGGTGGCTGTCCCAGACTGGCTGCCCCGTGGGGCACCCCGCTGCTCGGCACGGCCGCGAGGCTGGGGCGGACGGAGGGTGCTGTGTGGGTGCTCGCTCGGTTTTAACAGCTGGGTTGGGTGATGGATGCGCTCCTCATCCGCCTGTGCCCGTGATCGCAGTTTGTCCGGAGCATCTGGGAACCAGCTGCCGCAGGGAGGCCTGAGCTGGAAGAGAAAACTGGATTTCCATCTGAAATATCTTTAATGAAAGTTAAAATGAAAGTTTTAATAAAATAATAGAAAACTCCTAAGGAAGATTTTTAATAAAATCAGCTAAACCTACTTTTTTTTGTGCTGCCTCAGTTAAATAGAAGCTGTCTCACCTTAGATCACCGCTTTTTGAAGGCAGTAAGGTAGGCTTAGGTCTTGTTTTGTTTTGTTTTCCGGAGTGGGAGAAATTTTGGAGTTCTAATTTCTGAAATGTAAATCCAGATGCCGATTCCACAGCCCTAACCTCCCACAAACTTGACCGCTCATCTCCCAACGGAAACCGCTCGTCTCCCCTCTGCATCAATAATTTGTATTTTTCTACATGTTATATGTCTTTGCCTAGAGATGCCGCCCGTCACATCTCTGTCTGGCATCCTGTTTCCCAGTAGAAGACCACTGGCTTCCCTGAAGCTCTCAAGGATTTTGAGCTTTCAAAAAGCAGAAGAGGGGTAGAGTGTAAATCCCCGCTCTTGTTATATCATGTGATATGTCCATCTAATATCAGTGCCGCTCTCTGAATGCTTTTACAAGTTCCTCCTTGATTGACGTTGTCACGTTCTCAAAGTGCACTGTTGAGTTTCTGTGCAGTCTCCTAATATTTATTTTTAACTCTGATTTCTAGCCCTCTTTTTGTTGGGGGGGGGAAATGTTGGAGGGAGGGAGCATTCCTTTAACTAGTTAGCTAGTTCAGATGAGACCTCAGGATAGCTAGGATTTACCATGACCAGATAATGCAAGTTAAAAGTATAAACTGCCGTGCCTGAAAGAGGATATAGTGACTTAGAAGTACCCTTCCTTCCCAGGGTCGAGTAGCCCCAGGAAGCTTGACACGGAAGCTGTCAAGTTGCATGTGCTGTACGTAAATAGCCAAGGTATTAGATGATAGATGTCGTTGTTAGATCCTGGTCTAAGAAGTCTGGCAGGTATAGCTGTCTCGTTCCCAGTATCCTAGCCAACTAGGGTGCTTCTGTGTGGAGCTGCACATGCCGTGTCAACATGCTCTGTGAAACCACAGCCTCAGGACTGGGATATCCTTGTTAACAGGTGGGGCATTGGCACTTTATATTTTGCTCTGCTCTTTCAAAACTTCACTTCAGCGCCACGTATTTTCTTTCTTGATGCTTCAGCACCTGTACTGATACCAGCATGTGTGTTCAAACTCCTTCTGTTGCTAGGATGAAAAGAAGACCCCTCAACAACTTCCTCCTATGCCTTCTATCAGGGCCGCGTCCACAGAAGACAATGCTACTCCTTGCTTTGTCCGAGCAGAAGTGAGCTGTGCTGTTTCTGCGGTGAATTTGGGGGGGCTCAGTGTTCAGTGTCAGCACTGCTCAACAAAATTTTGTCCAAAATGTTTGGGCTAGGGGTGTGGGGGAAGGCTGTGACAGAATGTGCTGAGAGCAGTCTCTTGAGTTCCTGACGCTTCTCCAGTCCGTGGTGTGGTTGTGGTAGAACCTTCTCATACCAGGCAATTTTTTTTTACTGTAAGGTATGCTGTAGGGGACACGTTGGCAGCTGTAAGTCAGCGTGGTCAGTTTCTTCAGTGGCTCTCACTGTTTTCCTCTTTAGTTTCTCCCCTGACCAGCTAGCAAGTAGTCATTGGGAAAATGCTGGGTGACATTAGGTACCTGTCTCTCAAGGCTTGCGCTTCAGCCTCAGACATTGGTTTGTTTCTCAGTGATAGTTACCTACTCTTCTCTTTTGGCTTCCATTTTTAATGCTATTCCTTTTGTTTTTCATATTTCAGAAGAATCCATTGAAGATGTGGAAGGGCCCAATGAAACAGCTGTTGATGCTGAAGAGCCTGCCAAAGAGCAAGAGAGTGGAGGGGACAAGGACCAGAGTAAATGGACAGGTCAGTTGTGGTCCCTCCTTTTGTCTCAATTCAGTTGGGTTACAGACTAGACATACAGCCATATTCATAAAGGGTTGTTTTAATAGATGCCTTGTTGTCCTCTAAGGCTATGCTCTTTTCTTCTGTTGTCTTATTGAAGGAGGTTCTAAAAAACTCTACAAATTCTCAAACAACTGCTTGTTTCCAGCCATTTTTTTGACTTCTTGGTTCATGTTCCCATTGGAAAGGTTTGTCTCCTTCCGTTCTCTACACCCCTCCGCTCCCCAAGCCTGAAATACCAGTTCGGTGGCTGATGGTATACTAGGCTTTCCAAAAAGTCTCAAGAGAAAGGAAAGGAAAGTGGGAAGTTACAAAGCAGCAGTGCGCTCTTTACTTAAATGACCATGCGAGGCAGCACAGCCAATGTGAAGTAAGTGTTATCCTATAGTTCAATCTTTGGGCGTAGCATCATGAGGCACTCAATTTGAGCTGTGGTCCGTCATGCTTCCCCAATCCTAGCCCTGCATTTACACTGGGGGCCCTGGGTCGGAGTTAGCCTGTGCCACATGGTGCTAGATCCGACCCTGCCAGCAGCCTGGAGCGGAGGAAGGGAGAAAGGGACTGCTCCTTTTGGCAGCAGCCAGCGCTTAGGTTGGATTAAGCATATCATGAAACCCCACCCTATGCTGTTAAGGCTGAGAGACTGTTAGCCTGCTTTTTCATCATGAGCCTAGCTCCGGTAGCAAGGTCTTGTTGAAGAAAAGCAGAGCAGAGGCAGACTCCGTGTTTGTGTTCAAGTTAGCTGCTCGCTTTCAGCTGGAGCAGTGGCATTCTGAAACTGAAAATGCAAATGCACATCAACGTTTATGTTGTTGCAGAGGAACCTGAAAGGTTTCGCTTTGCCAAACCCTTAAATAAATTTCAGTTTGCTTATAAGGTATTAGAAGGTTACTCTGTCTTTCCCAGAAGATAGTTGCTACTTGCAAAGGGAGGCAAGGGAGAAATCTTTTAAATATTCTTTGCCTTTGAGCGGAAAGTAGCTGCAAGATTGTCCTCCTCAGGAGAGGGTTGTTCTCCTCCTCAGCTCATACTTGCTGACCGCTTCAGCTTAGTTGTGGAAGCGAGGACATTGAAGGTGGTGCTCATTTTGCTCAACCCAGGACTGAGCACTTCTGACTGCCCACTTCTCTTTCTGTGTAGTAACCAAGTAAGTCTGTAAACGTCTGTTTCCTCGGCACCATGCCTCTCTTAGTTTGCGCAAAGACCCTTCTTCTAGCCAGCCTTCTCCTACCCTTTTTGCGGTTCCTTCTCAAAGAGACACGCACAATGAGATATTTCAGCTTGCAAAGTCTTCAAAAGGATGGAGAGTGGTCTTTCGTCTCCATACAGTTTTAATCTCTGCCATTGGGAGATGTGTCTTCCCAAACTTCGGAAAAAACCAAGCTGTGCTTTAGTGCTTGTTGAAACTTGTGTTCTCAGTTCATGTTCTAGACCTCGCTTGCTGAGGTTGCTCTGCATATCATCCCCCATCGTAGACGCACTCTTGAACCCAGAGATGCAAACTTTGCTTGGCTGTAGGTGATCATTTAGTTTCTTCTGATGCATAGGATTGTGTGATTTTAAGTAAAAGCACACTTTATGAAACATCACAGAAAGATCTATGTATTGTATATTAAATCTCCTGAAGGATAAGTAGGGCCCTTTGTCCAAACCTGAGGCACTTGCAAAGCTGATCTATGTGAAAAGATTACACGTGAAAATCATGTAAGGAAGAAAGGAAAACCTACTTTTTAAACCTTTTTCTGTCCAGCGGTTCTAAATCTGAATGGTTTTATTTTTTCATCCTGCCTGTGAAATTCCTAATCTGTTCTTGGTGTGTTTGTCAGTCCGACAGTAGATAAGAAATAGACAGCTTCATTGAGCCTTCAAAGGAGAACGCAGACTACGCTGCTGTGTATATAAACCCACAGAGCTCTGGACAAACCTGTCCAGAGCCATTGCAAGGCTGAAATGTACAGCCTTGGCAAGATTTGCGTGTGTGCTTGTGTTGAGTTCAGATCCTGATTTCAAATATGTGACAACATTACCCCTAAACTTTAAAGCAAAAAAGAAGTTCAAAAATCATTTATGTGCAGTAAATATGTAAAACGGGTCATACGCCTCAGCCTTGCATTGGTTCTGCTTTTAAATTCCCTTGGCGAACTATAGCAATGTCATCATGTCCTCGTGGACCTCAGACCTAGAAGGAAATGGAAACTAAGTCAGATTACTCAGGACAAACCCAGAAGAATAGGGTCTCCTCCACGTACAGAAGTATCAAAACACCTTTGTACAAGTTGAGATGTAACCAGTGAGGGAAATACGGAGTATCAAGGAAACAACCAAAAACGCTCTTGCTGTAAAAAGAGACTGTAAAAAAAGAGCTGATCCGCAGCTCAGCAGAGTAGGAAAACTATCAACCGTAATGTCAAGAAAACTAAGGAGAATGATGCCTTCTTTGCCTTTATCTTAGCTAAGCAGCTTTTGCTGCCTGTGAGACTAGAAAAGCCTAAATCAGTGATAGCGTAGTGATATCTCTGCCTCAAACAGTGAAGGAACAGGTTGCAAAGTATTTAGTTAAGCTAAATTTTTCAGATCTGTGACCTGCTGCTTCACGCTTAGGTATGTCAAAGAAGTGATGAAACAACCCCAGATCTGTCAGCTGTTGTCTCTCTTGAATTTACAGAAAGCAGGGGAAGTACCAGGAGAGGACAGACATAGTTCTTATCTTTAAAAAGAGGAGTAGCAGGAGAACTATGCAACTGCCAACTCTTTTTGCCCCTAGTTTTTCTGGGAATTGACCAAACAACTGTTTGTAAGTACTGGAAGATAATGAGATGAATAAGTCGACATGAATTTGTCAAGAACAAATCATGTCAACACGACCCAATTTCCTTCTATGTGAAGAAGGCTTTGTTTGTTTGCAGTCAGTAAGTGTCTCATATCTTGACTTCAGTAACACTTTTGATGCTGCTTTGCATAACATTCTCAAAAGCAAGCTCAAGAAATGTGGCGTAGGTTAAAATATTACAGGACGAGTGCAGAACTGTCTGGGAACATTCACTTAAAGAGTGGTTGTCAACGACTCATTGTCAAAAGGAAACAGTCTTTTGACTGGAGCATCAGAAGAGTCTCTCCTCGAGCTTGGGTTTATCAGTATTAAATTTGCAAATGATGGCCACCTGGGGGGGTGCATCTGATGCCTTGAAGAGCGAGGTTTGAACTCTGAATGATCTTGACAAATTGGGGGTATGGTCTAGGGGGATAAAAGGATACCGTTCAACAGGGACCACTGGCACATAACTGCAAACAGGTAGAGACAATGACCTGTATAAATGTAACTGCAAAAAAGCAGAAGAATTAGGATATCAAGATATCCTAATTAGGATATCTTGGGGTATCAAGAGCATTGAGGAACAATTTCAGAAAACCTGAAATGCCCCATGAAGGGCATGGTCTGCATAACATTACCTGTGAGGAGAAAATGGAACAAATTAGCTTATTTGGCCCAGAAGGAGAAGACAAAAGGGGAGGATGAGATAAGTCTTGTGCATAAAATGTTTCTGAAAGGAAGGAAATAATTTGCTCTCCATGTCCAGGGTATAGAAGACAAAAAGTAATGGGCTTAAATTGAAGGGAGAAAGATTGAGGTTAGATAATATTAAAAAAAACAACAACAACAACATATTTTTCCTGGTACAGCTTGTGAAGCATTGGAGTAGATTTTCTGGGAAGGTTCCTTAGAGGTTTTTTAAGAAGATTAGAGAAGCTGCTGTCAGGAATGAAGTAGGCACAGTTTATCCTGCTTTGGATAGACCAGCTAACCTTTTGAGGTGCCTTTGAGCCCAGCAGTTCAGTGGAAGTGGGCGACAGGTAAGAAAGGAGCGCAGGCTCCAAGCCAATAAATAGCGTGTTGAAGTGGAGGTTGATGGACCTGTTTTCTGTTCATTGTGCAGTTTGATCATGACATTCCTTAGCAATTTACTCAGCTTTTGCCCCTCAATTTCTTAACTACAGCCTCTGTAATTATTTCTTCAACTTTCTTAAAGATTTGTGAGCTCTCTAATAAAATGTTCTAGAACATCTGTCCAAGCTCTTTTTATGAAGAAGAATGAGGGATGAGTCAAGTTTGTTTGACTCGTTTATGCTACATGTGTACACATGTGGCAGGCGGTACCTCTATCAATGTTTGCACTGAAAAGAGAACCTCTCTGCCCTCATTGCATATTTATTAAAATGTTTCAGCTACAAAACAAACCTATAAGTTCATTCTTCTATTTATTTTAAAATGGGACATTCTTAAGCAAAAAAGTTTTATTTTTCAGGTAACGTTTTCCATAATGTCGAAAACCAAATCTCAAATAAAAATTTGTACATACTTTTTTACATATATTTTAATAAATCCTAAAAGATTTGTTAAAAGTGACAGTGCTGTTTGCTTTCAGAAGTGCACATGCGGTCGCTGTCTCACTGAGCTCATAACAAGCAGCAGTGTTTCATAGTAACTACAACTGTTACGTGACTCCTAAAATATTCTGTGTCAAAAGAAATTGCTCATGGTTCCTGTTTCTGGACTTGTTTGCTGTCTCTTTTTTTTCTCTCCCTCTAGTAATTAGAGTGCATGACTTCTAAACACCTTTTGATACAGCCTTCTAGCTCCCGGAGCTGTGACTGTCTGCTTTCTTCTTTTTGGCCAAAAGTTCTTTCCAGTTTTAGTGTTAGAATAAGGAGACCGTCCTTTGTTCGGTGGCTGAGCTTTAAAAATTGTCTCATTGTGACTAACATGAGATATATCACAAGTAAACCAGCAAAGAGCAAAGAAATTGCAGCTCTTCCTGACTCCATTTTTAAGTCAGGATATAAATGATTAATATTCAACACGCTGGTCTCCAGCTAAATCAAACCAGCGTAGATCAGTTTGAGACTTTTGAGATTTGGGGTGGGACTTGTGTCTATTTTTTAAAAAACTAGAGGGAAGCACT